TATAAACATCTCTTTCTTTAGGTTGGGTAATTACCTTGTATGATTTTGTTGAAAAAAACTTCTGGGAATTGGAGCCAAGATTTTCCACCCTCTTTTATTTGTATTATTCTTAGATTTGATCTTTACATTGTGTCTTGAATTTCCTGGCTATTTTGGATTAAGAGCTTTGTACATTATGTATTTTGTTTGACCAAAGTGTCAATATTTTCTGTGGTATCTTTTATGCTTAAAATTCTCTCTTCTATCTCTTGTGTTCTGTTGGTGATGCTTGTGTCTGTAGCTCTTGATCTCTTTTCAAAGTTGTCCATTTCCAGGGTTGCCTCCATTTGTGTTTTCTCTATTGTTTCTCCTCACAATTTTAGTTCTTGGTCTGTTTTATTCAATTCCTTCACCTCGTTGATTGTATTGTCCTATAGGGGTTCTCCCCATTTACCTGTGTTTTCCTGTATTTCTTTAAGGGAGTTCTTTGTATCCTCTCTAAAGGTCTCTGTCATATTCATGAGATGAGATTTCATGTCATTATTTTGGTTTTCTAGGATGTTGGGATATCCAGGGCTTGCTATGGTGTGTGTAGTAACTGGGTTCTGGTGTTGCCTGATTGCATTAGGTTCTGTCACATAGGATTTTTAGTTTGCCTTGGTGATCTGGTTATCTATGCTGTTAACTGGCCTGGGTGTCTCTGTCTAAAGCCAGTTTCCTGGGAGGCAGATAGTCTCCTTGGAGGCCAACAGTGCTGTCACTTGTTAGAATGATTCTCTTGGGTCTCTGGTTAGAACAGATCTCCTGTGTCCCTAGATACTGTGGATCTTCTGGGAAGCAGACAGGCTGTGGAGTGTGGGAAGGTAACAACCCCACCAATCTAGCCTGGGTGGAGAAGCAGACCAGAAGGTGGAGCTTAGCAGGACATGTGGGCCCTGTGTCAACTGGGCTCTGTGTCTTTGCTTACTGTGGACCTCCTGGGAGACACACAGGCTGTGGATTGTAGGTGAGTATCGGGCTGCTGATCTGACTTGAGTAGAAAGCAGGTTGGAAGAAAGGTGGAGTTCGGGGCAGGGTGTAGGGGGTGTGGGGTCGGTCCCTATTCCCCTACTCCAATGTTCCAGCTGGCCTGTGTATTGGGTTGAGATTATCAGCTATGTCATTTGTTAATGAAGACCTCCTGGGATGGATGCTGGCTGTAGATATGGACTGCTTATCTGGCTTAGGTAGGAAGTGTTCCAGAAGAATGGTGGAGTTCAGGATGTTAGACATTGCTTTAAGTATGTCTTGGCCATTTGAGATTCTGCTACTGTGAATTGTGTTTAGATCAATATTTCATTTTTCAATGGGATTGTTTGGTTTGCCAATGTTTGTTTCTTGAGTTCTTTATCCAATGTAAGGGTGGTAAACATATTTCCTTGTTCAGTGGGCTGCTGCTTTGTCCAAATGGTGATGTCCTTTGTCATACAGAAACATATCAGTTTGAGTTCCCCTTAATCAACTGTTGATCTTAGTGCATGCACTATCAGTGTTCTGTTCAGAAAGTTTTCTCCTGTGCCTATGTGTTCAATGGTTTTCCCCACTTTATTTTCTATTAGGTTCAGTGTGGCTGGATATGTTGACATTTTAAATCTGCTTATACTTGAATTTTGTGCAGACAAATATTATCTATTTGCTTACTCTACATACAGTGATTTAGTATGATCAGCAGCATTCTTTGATGATTTTTCCTCTTTTTGTATTTCTGGCTCCTTTATTAAACATCAGGGATCCATGGATGTGTAGATTTATGTCTGGATCTTTGATTTGATTCTTTTAAACAACATGGCTACTTTTATGCCAATACCCTGCAGTTTTTATTACTATTGCTACGTAGCACAATTTTAAAGTTGAAATGGTGACATCTTTAGAAGTTCTTTTATGGTTGAGGATATTTATTTTTTCCATGTGAAGCTGAGTATTGTCCTTTTAAGATCTGTAAAGAACTGTGTTGAGGTCTTGATGTTGATTTCATTGAATCTGTAGATCAAGGTAGGATGGTCAGTTTTACTCTGTCCATCCCACTAATCCATGATCATGGGAGATCTTTCCATTTTCTGATATCTTACTCAATTTATTTCTTTAAATACTTAAAGTTTTAATCTTACAACTTTTTCACTTGCTTGGTTAGAATTACTCAAACACTTTTTATATTATTTGTAGCTATAGTGAATGGTGTTGCTTCCCTGATTTCTTTCTTGGTCTATTTGCTATTGTTACATAAGAGGGCTACTGGTATTTTGAGTTAATCTAGTATCCAGCTACTTTGCTGAAGGTGTTTGTTAGTTGTAGGAATTCTTTGGTAGAATTTGTTTGGGTTGCTTATATATAGTATCATATCATCTCAGAATAGCAACACTTCTTCCTTTCTAATTTCTCTCCTTGATCTCCTTTAATTGCCTATTTGCTCTAGCTAGAATTTTAAGTATTGTATTGAATAGATATGGAGAGAGTGGACAGCCGCATCTTGTGTCTGATTTTAGTGGAATTGCTTTGGGTTTCTCTCCATTTAGCTTAATGTTGGCTATAGAGTTGCTATAGACTGCCTTTATTTTGTTCTGGTATGTGTCTTGTATCCTTGATCTCTGTAAGACTTCTATCATGAAGGGGTGTTGGATTTTGTCCATAGCCATTTTAGCATCTAATGAGGTGATCATGTTTTTCTTTTTCTTTCAGTTTGTTTATATGGTGGATCACATTGACAAATTTCCATATATTGAGCCATCTCTGAGATCAACCCTAATTGATCATGGTAGATGATCATTTAGATGTGTTATTGGATTCAGTTTGCAAGCATTTTATTGAGTATTTTTGCATAATGTTCCTAAGGAACATTTTTCTATAGTTCTTTTTTTTTTTGGTTGGGTCTTTATGTGATTTGGATGACTGTGGCCTTGTAGAATGAATTGGTAAACATTTCTTCTGTATTTATTTTGAAGAATAATTTGAGGAATATCAGAGTTAGCTCTTCTTTAAAAGTCATGTAGGATTCCATGCTTTAAATGTTTGGCATCTTTGGGGGAGGATGAGAGACTTCTAAAAGACTAATTCTGGGTATTGTTTTTGGTGCAATAGGTTTTTTAAATTATTTATTTTATGTTTTTTAAAAAATCAATGCAAAAGCAAGAGGTTTATTTTCTGGTGTGTTGAGGTCAACCTTCAATTAGTCCCTCAAGGTGAGTGACTAGAAGTCGGACCTGAATGGCTATTACAAGCAGTTTTTATACTTTTTAGGAGCACAGGTTACATCAGCAAGGATATGGTTCAAACTTACTGGCTAAGCATATTGACCTTTAAATCTGTTGGCTAGCAAGCATGGGCAGATCATGACATGCATTTGAACTCTACCTGGGACTTTCCAGGGGGTCAAGTGACTATCAGTCTCTACATTCTATGTTTTTTCTGAGAATTTTTTTTTACTACTGTTTGTGGAGAATGGCACTTGGCCTAGCCTTGAAACTAGGCATGAGAGTGAAGCTGTAAGGATGGTGTGGGACTGGAAAAAGCCCTTAGGGTCCTTCATTACCCCATTTTTCTTGCACAAGCTCCATTCTTGGAGCTATGCTTAGGGATTTTGGGTAACTAACTCATATTCTTCAGGTCCTGTACTTAGGGTCTCATATTGTTGGTGCAGGACCATCAACTGTACTGCTCCTGTTCTCTCTTTCATGAAGGCTATAAGCTTGTTGAATGTGCAGGTCCAAAGGTCAACAATAGCAGGAGAACAATTATGGGTCCTAACAAGGTGGGTATAATGATAATTAACCAAAGGGAAGAGTTAAACAAAGATTTGAACCAGCCTTGACTCTGTTCCCTTTCTGTCTTTCACTTGGCTAGCCCTTTACTCACCTTGGCCATTGAATCTTCAACTACCCCTGGAATGTTCTTTAGTCTGTGCATCTCAATGTTTCACACCCCTAGGTATCACAGAAAAAGTGCTTGCCCACCCCCACTGATGGGCCTGCAGCTGACTTCTCCCATCTCAGGGTCACAGGTATATGGGGATATCTCACGGAACACGCAACTTGGGGTCTCCACACTCTTAAGTCACACCCTCCAAGGCCACTTTGGCGACATGGTTTAGATTCAGAATTCCTTTGTGCCTCACATTTAGATAGTACCTCCCCCTGTGTCTCTAGGTTGGGGATATCCCAGGAGTCAAGGCCCTCTGCTAACTTACAGAGACTAAAGAAAAGGTCCAGCCACCAGGTATAAGGTCAGTGTTCCTCTGTAGTGGATCAAGCTACATTCCCAATGACTGAGAGTACTTGCCAAATCACTTTGGTAGGGTTGTGGGTGTGGGGTGGGGTGATGCTGAGGTTCAGCTCCTGAAGGAAAATACACCATAGCCATTTCATGGATTCTCTGGACTTGCAAAAGGTGGGTGGTTTTGAGTTTGAGTGGGTTGCTCGGGTGTCTGGCTGTTATCCAGTTCATGTCAGGTGCTGGTGTGAAGTGAGTTACATGAACTGAGGCAGTTACTCAATCCACTTTAATGGAGGTCGGGGTGGTCAACAACAAAGTGCCCTTTCCACTTTGCTTCCAAGTTTTCAGCAAGATGCTTCTTAACATATACCCAATGTCTAACTTGCTACTTGTGTGGAACCTCTGGGGTACCTGTGTTATATAGGGCACTAAGTTAAGGCCACAATTTCTGGTCTGGAAAGCTTGCAATTGAGCCATCAGGTCCTTGTCAGCCTGAAAAGTCACTCTGGGAGGGGTGTCATGAGCTGGGGGTAAGAGAGTGGGGGTCCCATACAGGATCACAAAGGGGTCAGGTTAAAATGGTAGGGGAGGTTCCAGGGTCAGAACAGAGCCAGGGAAAGGAGCACTACCCAGTTAGAGCCAGTCTCCAAGGACAAATTAGTTAAGGTCTCTTTTAGTGTTCTGTTCATTCTCTCTACTTGTCCTAAGATCTGTGGATGGTACCCACAACGTAGCTTCCAATTAGTCTACAATATCTCTCCCAGTCTCTGACTTACCTTAAAGACAAAAGCAGGATCTTCGTCCAATCCAATGAACTTGGGCACTCTGATCCTTGGGAAAGTTTCCTCTAATATCTTCTTGGCTACCATGGTAGCTCTTTCCTGCTTGGTGGGGAAAGCCTCAACCCATAGAGAAAGTATACACAAACATTAGAAGGCATTTGTAGCTGTGATTTCCTGGCTTAACTTCTGTAAAATCGGCCTGCTAATATACTGCAGGCCACTATCCCCTAGGTCTTTCGCCCTGTTTACTCTAGGCTGAATAAGCATTCACTTGCTGGCTTAATTTACACTGTTCTACTATCTCTCTGGCCCAAAACCTGAGGTCCATTATGTATACTTTAGATCCCTTAACTGCTTGAAGAAGCTTTGTATTCCGTAAACGAGTCCATCTGTGCATTTGGCCTAGTATGTCTTTTGCTCGCTTTCTGGGGAGTATAGTTTTCCTTTTTCTGTGTACCTTTGCCCTTCCTTCTCTAATAGTTGGTAGGGTAGCTAGCAATCTGAGTCCTTTCTTCTTCCATATATTTTAAGTGAGGCCATCTGATGTCCTGGGCAATGAATAATACTCACAGTTGCTGGCTTCATCAGGCCATCCAAGAGATCCAGGATTTCTTACTTGATATTTATTTCTTTTCCTTATGATGTGAGCAGTGCTCAATCATGTTATATAGCCCTGTGGATGTCGGCTGTGGCAAAGGCATACCTACTATTCATGTAGATATCCATTTTCTTGCTGGTTCCAAGTTCCAAGGCTTAGGTGAGGGCAATTAACTCTGCTTTCTGAACCTACATGCTGGGTAGGGAGGGGAGGTTCAGCCCAGATGACATTTATGCTGTCCACCACAATAGCACCCATTCATCTCTGACCTTCATGGAGAAAACTGATCCTGCCTGTAAACTAGGTAGCCTTGGTTCCCAGCAGGGGCCTGTCAAAGAGGTCTTTCCTCCACCCACGGGCTCTCCTTTTGGGCCAGTTTTTTGCAGCCCATTGGGTAGGAAGAGTATCTGGGCCCCATCTTGAAGAGTAAGTTTCACCCCAACAGAAGGTAGGGGCAGTCTAGGATGACCATAAATGAATGGAATATCCTGCCTATCCCTAGGTCTACTGTTTTTTGGGTAGTCCCTGAATACATTTTGGAGCCAGTGGCTTCTTGGACCCAAGAATTTTTCTTGGAAACAGGGCCATTGACTTAGAGGTGGACCAAGTGTTGAGCCCCTGTGTCCACCAAGAATTGAGTGGGTTTCCCCTTCATTCTCAGAACTACCCTGGGTTTGGGAAGGGCGTACAAACCCCATCTCCACTAATCACTGTCTTCATCTAGGTCTAACACCTTTGTCATTTGGGGGTCTTTTCCCAAGGCCTGGGATTTCCCATCACCAGCTTATATTTGTTGGTACTCTCTCGGTCCCAGTGGTGTCTTTTTTTGCAATATGTGCACTGGTCCTTTCAAAGGGGTTTTCTGTCTCTTTTTGGTTTAATTCTCTCTTCTCTGTTTTCCATAACTACTGTAGCCAAGATTTTCTGTACATTCCTTTCCTGTTGCTTTTATTTTTTCATCTCCCTTTCATCTTCTTTCTCTTTCTCTACTTCTCCTCCTTTGTCTCCATGTTATGACAGACTTTCTCAGCAGTCTGCACTAAATCTCTCAATGACTTATCCTGTAAACTCCCTAGCTTCTAAGGCTTTTTCCTGATATCTCTACTAGCCTGATCTATAAAAGCCATAGTCACAGTAGCTTTGTTTTACTAGCTGCTGGGGTCATAGGTGTATATTGACAGAATGCTTCCTTGAGTCACACTAGAAAGGCTGTGGGTGACTTGTCTGGTCCCTGCTTAACTTCAAGTACCTAGGTAAAATTTGTGGGTCATTGTACAGTCCCCTTGAGACCTGCCAAGAGAGTTTGGTGGTAGACCTTAAGGTGCTCCTTAACTTCTGCTGTATTAAAGTTTCAGTCAGGTCTAGTCAGGAGGAACCCACTGTTGACGACAGCCTGGTCAATAGATGGTGCCCTCATGTCTGAGGGGACATTCTTTCTGGCTTCCTGCATCTTGCTCTTCGGACATGATGAGCACTCTCATGAGTTGGATATCATCCTAGGTGGGCTGATGAGTGAATAAAATAGTCTCAAAGAGATTAATCAGTTCATTGGGGTTATCTGAAAAGGGAGGGGGTGTTGGGCTGTCCTGTTGTACAAGTTGGCCAAGAGAAGGGCCAATATTGCATAGCCTGATTGCCCTTATCATCTAGAGGCCCATATGCCCTCATCAGGAGAGCCACCAAGGTATCAGGGGAGGTTGTTCTCAGACTTCTGATCTCCATGGTGGGACCAGGAAGTTGGGGGTCTTCTTCTGCTCCTCCCTCCAGTAAAAGGAGTCACAAGAGCCCTGGTCCCATATGGGCCGAGGATTGCAGGGCTATGGGGATAAAGGAACTGTATATTGAGGCAGGTCTTGGAGCAACATGTCTGATGTTGAAGGGTCTGGAAGAATCAACTTCTTCTCATGTCCAGATCCCTTCTTCAGTGTTTTCTTTTTCCTGACAGCCAGAACCTGCAATGTGGCTCTCGAGGAAAGAAAGGCTTTTATACAGGGGGGCTGGTGGGTTTCTCCATAGATTTTTTCCAGGTAACTATATAGGGCACTTGGTCTGGGTACCTGAGGGATCCTGGCCTAAAGACTCTTTCCTCTATTTCTTTGATCACCTGCAAGTCGAAGGTCCTTATGGGTGGCCACCCTACTCTAAAAGTGGACCATTCGGAGGAGCAGAGAATAACTAACTTGCCCTTCTTTACTACTACTGACAAGTTTTCTCCTCTTTCCCGAACTTCCCTCTAGTGGTTCATTAGGATGTTTAGTGGGTAGATTCAGTCTGTCTCATGTCCAAAAATGATATCAATCTAAGTCCAAGAACACAGTGAAAGACAATCAACACACAGACAGTTCACTCCTGTCATGGACACAGAAACAAGGTTATAGCAAGACTCGGTTGGCTCCTGATGATATTGTGTCTTTTGGTTTACAAAAGGAGCAGAGTCCTTCTAACTCCTTCCAAGGGAGGAACACTGAACTGTCCTCCAGACTCCCCATGGATACTGTGTTAATGCACATCTTCTTGCCCCAATTGCCTGCTCTAGACCAGAAGTTTTAAAGCCTACACCATGCTTGTGAGTCAAAAGTGAACACAAAAGACAGAGAGACAAACCCAGATAAACACTTACAAGTAGGTGCCTGTTGCTGAGTTTTGTCTTTTCCCCTCCGATCAGTCTAGTTGGTGGTTGCTAGTGGGTCTCCTTGAATCCTGGACAAAGTCCCCAAATGTAAGACCAACCCTCAGTCAGTGGTACTTACTTTGAGATTCCCCTGATTGAAACACCAAGATGCAGATCTATGCAAAAGCAAGAGGTTTATTTTTCAGCACATCGAGGGCAACCTTCAATTAGTCCCTCAAGGTGAGCGACTACAAGGTGACCTATTTACCTCATCTTGATTTAAGTTTGATATGTTGTACCTATTGAGAAAATTATCCATTTCTTTTAGATTTTCCAATTTGGTGGTAGATAAGTTTGTAAAGTATGCCCTTATGATTTTCTGAATTTCCTTGGTGTCGTTTCCTTTTCATTCCTGATATTGTCAATTTGTATATTCTCTCTCTTTCAGTTAGAATAAAAGTTTGTCTATTTTGTTGATTTTTTCAAAGAACCAACTCTTTGTTTTATTGGATCTTTGTATTGTTCTCTTTGTTTTGATTTTATTGATTTCAGTCCCCCATTTTATTTCTTGCCATGTACTCTTCCTGGATGTGTTAAGTTGGTTTTTTTTTTATGTTGTTCTAGTGCTTTTATGTGTGTTGTTAAATTGATAGTATGAGATTTCTCCTTTTTAAAAATATTTTGTTTTATGTAGGCACTCAGGGCTAGGAACTATGCTCTTAGTACCACTTTCTTTTTGTCTTACAAGTTTGGGTATGTTGTGTATTCATTTTCATTGCATTCTAGAAATTCTTCAACACTGTGATTTTTTTCTGTCATTGTTGATATGTAGTCAGATAGGATGCAGGACGTAAGCAGTTATTTCAATTTTGGTCTATCTATAGAGATATTCTTTGTGATGGAGAATGTGATGAATTTCGGAGAGAGTGTCATGAGGTCTTGAAAAGAAGGTATATATTTGTCTGTTTGGGTGGAATATTTACAAATATCTGTTAGATTCATTTGGTTTATAACATAACTTAGCTTCAGTATTTTTTGTTTAGTTATTGTCTAGATGACCTGCACATTGGTGAAATCAATCAATCTTGATATCAAATTCTTCCACTTTCAGTGTGTGACAATCTGTATGTGATTTAATCATCCACTTTACAAAAAGTTGGTGCCCTTGTGTTAGAAGCATAGATGTTAAGAATTGCCATACCATTTTGGTAGGTTTTTTTCCTTTGGTGTCTATGTACTATCTTTCCCCATCTCTTTTGACTAATTTTTGCTTGCAATCTATTTTCTTAGATAACAATATGGGCACACCAGTTTGCTTTCCAGGTATGTTTACTTTAAATATCTTTTTTCAACCCTTTACCCTCAGGTATTGTCTATCTTTGAATCTAAATTTTGTATCCTGTATACAGCAGAAGGACAGATTTTGATTTTGAGCATTCTCTTTTTTATTGTCATTGATATTGAAAGACATCAATAACAAATGATTGGTAATTCCTGTTATTTGTGGTTGTTTTTGTTTGGTGGTGGTATTGATGATGGTGGTGGTGGTGGTGGTGGTCATTGTCAGGAATGTGTTATATCTAGTAAGTGATTAGCTCAAAATCTCAGGGTATTTCAGATTTGTTGGTTGCTCTCCATGAACTGACAGTAAAACTTTACTGCTGAACACAAGACTTACATATGTCATCAAACACATAGAAGTTGAGATGGTGTATAACTAAAGGATTTACCCCTACCAACTAGCATTCATGGTACTGGAAGGTACTCTGCATGCTACCAGAGGAGTAATATAATCATCTCCCCAGCTGCAAACCCTGGTACTTACAATTATAACTTTCCTGAAAGATATGCTGTCACATAAATGGCACAAACATTCAGGGAATAACCAACTACTCTCTGATTGGTTTTAAGGCTCACTTAATGAAATGATCCCCTTTCTGATACTTCCAGTGTAGCCCTGAACCTGAGACTGGATAGGTCACAGACCAAGGTGAAACTAAATAATGTTGTTTTACTAAAGGAATATAGCAATAAAATGACTCCTAGTGACATCCTGGACACTTAGATCAGTAGTTTACTCAGCATTTATGAACAAAGCTTCTTCCTGTAGGAGATGGGAACAGAGACACAAAAATGGAAAAGATCAGATCAGGTTCAAGCCAGACAGGGTCCCAGAACTGGGGGGGGGGTGAGTGTATACAGGATCCTACTCCTAATCAAGAATCTATTTGTAATTGATCCATGCTTGCATGGAAAAATTAGGTTTTTTTTCTGACCGTGTCTTATTGGGTACATTAGTAACAATTCAGGCTAGTCCAAGGATTAGTTGTCCATCAGGAAAGGAACTCAACAGAAGGTAGTTTTGTAGATTTTTCTTCTACATTTCCTTGTTTCTGTATTTTACAACTTACTGGCATTTTACCTATATTCTTTGGTTTCCATTTCTGTGGGTTTCATTTTATTTCATATGTAGTTTCTTTGTTCTTTTTTTTGGTATTGTTTTAGAAGAGAGATGGATAGTAAAGTTATATAGTTGGGTGAGCAGCATGTTGGATAGGATCCTCAATGATTCACTGAAGGGGAAAAGGATGATCAAAATATAATGTATGGAAAACATTTTCGGAATAAATAAAAAAAACCAAACCCCCCCCAGAATATGCATTTTGGTATGTGAGTAAGTAGTTAGGAGGCAAAAATCCAGAATAAATTTTTTCACTTTTAAAGGTAATTTTATTTTTAATTTTTGTGAAATTGTATAGCTTATAGATCATAAAACAAAAAATTTAACATTGTATATATTTATATTATGTTTAACACCTCAGTAATATTTTTAATATTTATAGAGAAAACATTGGAATATCAGTATATAAGCCTGCAAAAAGTTTCATGCAAATGAAAACATCAAGAAATAAAGGTAATATAATATAAAAAGTCTTTTAAACGTTTACATGCAAAATATTTTAATCATGAATCTTTCATCCTTTAATATCACTCAGATCTCTACCAACTCATCACTTACTCAACTCCATCTTTTTTCTTTCTCTATTTAAAACACAAGCAAACAAAACTGAAAATAAAAGCTCAAGAAAAACAACCTCCAGACTTCATGGCAAAAACAAATATGAAGATTTTGCCCAAAGAAATGTGATTTAAACAGATAGATTTTAAAATATCTCTCTAAGTACCACTGAGTGTCCTGGGTATAGGGCCTGCACTGAAGTGAGTCTCCACTGGATGAAAGTACCTTTTCCTTTATGAGAGGGTGTTTATTGCAGATAGCTTTTTAAGGTAAGGGTAGCTCAAAGAACATGAGTTTTATTGCATGTCATTCAATGTGTTAAAATTATATGCAACTCACCTCTGTAATTCCAGTAGCCCATTCTATCATGTCCTCAGATAAGGATAATTGTTGACCTAGTGGACCATATGGAGAATATTGACCAATTTTCACCTTAAGTTGAAGACCATCTGGAAAGTTCCAGTAGTTGAGAATATCATACTCTGCATTCAACTTCATTTTCTCATCCAAATTCACTTGTTCTCCAGCAGGATTAGTAAACTGCATGTTCTTCAGAAAAGGGAGCAGCTAAAATAGTTACATTATTATTTTTAACATCTCAATAATATTTTTAAAATTTATAGAGAAAACTTTAAAATATCAGTACATAAAACTTCAAAAATATCATGCAAAAGAAAACATCAAGAAATAAAGATAATATAGAAATATTTTAGAAGTTTACATGCAAAATGTTTTGATCATGAGTCTTTCATTTTCTAACACCACTCAGATCTCTACCAACTCATCACTTACTCAACTCCATCTTTTTCCTTTCTCTGTTTAAAACAGAAGGAAAAAACACTCGAAAACAAAAGCCCAAGAAAAACACCCCCCCACACCTCATAGTAAAAGACAAATACGAAAAAAGTTAGATTATGGATTACATTATGATAAAATTATTATCAGAGTGAAGACAAATAATCTGAGTGTTAGAGAAAGTCACTTATTGTATAAGTCTTTGTTGAATAAGGCAAATTTAACATAGGTTTAAAAAATGTAGGACAAATTGCAGCCTATGAGTAATTAATGATGTAGCATTTATGAAAATGTCAGTCCAACACACAGTATTGAATCATATACAAGAATATTAATTAAATGAATGAAAATCAGGTAATTTTCTGTTTGTCTAGGAAATGTTAGACCCATCTATTTATTTTCAGAATTAACCTGTTTTGATTTGCTTTCTGTTGCATTGATAAAATTCTTACGGGTTACTGTCCTGAAGACTGAAGAAAGCCAAAGAAAGAACTCAAGGCAGGAGCCTGAAGGTAGGAAGTGAAGCAGAGACCATGGAGGAATGTGTTTCCTGACTTGCCTCCATGGTTTACTCAGCTTTCATTCTTATGCAACTCAGGACAACTTGACTAGAGATGGCACTGTCCACAGTGGACTAGACTCTCCCACATATCATCAATCATCAATCAATTAAATGCCCCACAGACTTGCCCACAGGGGAATCTGATAGATGCAATTAGTCAGTTGAAGGTACCCCTTCCCAGGTAACTCTCCTTTGTGCCAAACTGAAAAAAACTAGTCAGTACATTGCTCAGAGTAAATTTGAATACCTTACGTGGTGTTAGATGTGAATCTTAAACTGTCAAGAGTAGTCTGAACATCACTTAAACATATCAATAGTTTGTGTTATAGGGACATAGCTCAGTCGGTAGAGTTGCCTAGCACGAGTGAAATCCTGGGTTTGATCCCAGCTCTGCATTAACCTGGGCATAGTTTTACATGCCTGATATCTCAGCACTCAGGATGTAGAGGCAGGAGGATCAGAAGTATCTTGTTGTTCTTGGTTGCATAGTAAATTTGAGGCCAGCAAATCTAAGCATATTAGAGTATTCATAAACCACAACAATGACAACAACAAAGAAATAGTTTTCTTTTCCTTCTCACTTAACCAAATGCTTAGGCATATGCTGAAGGGACCTCCTATCTTACTACAGAGACACTTATTCTATCCAAAACATTTAGGAAATGAAATCAGCTTGGATGTCCATAAACTGATAAATGGATAATGAACATGTGGTACATTTACATAATGGACTATTATCCACCTGTAACAAAATGGGAATATGGTAATTTTAGGAAAATGGATGGAACTGGAAAACAGTACACTGAATGAAGCAATTCAGGACCAGGAAGGCCAAGGTAAAATGTTCTTTGTCATGGGTAGATCATAACTTTCAATGGTTAGATTTGTAAGCTTAATCTAGAGTGTCTATAGGAACAAAGGAGTTAGAAACAGCTTATGAGAGAGGCAAGGAAAAGAGACAATAGGTGTTGGGGAGGAGGTACTGGAACACTGAAGTTATGGGAGAACATTGTTGGTCGAACGGTTTCAGCTGGAATGGGAGTAGAGAATAGAAAAGAGGACAGGGAAATAATATAAGTAAGCATCTATGAAAGAGGCCTATAGAAATCTACTGGTTATTTTGTCTACTTAGAACGTAATAAAAAAAATCATTTGGAATTGAAATCCCATGCATTATTGGATATTCTTTCTCACCAAAGTCAAAGTTTACAAAGCAAAAGTCCCAGTAGTATATATAGGTTAATTTCTTATGAAATGTTTGTCAGAGAGAGCCAGAGATCCCCCACTCATTTGAGGCTATTGCCATTGCTTCTGCTTTCTATAACCGGTGTATTATTGTTAAAGTTCAGTCTTATTGGAGGAAATATGTAACTGGAGGTTGACTTTGAGAGTTTAGAAACATAGTCTACTTCTATGCCACCATTTCTCATTGGTGGTTTAGGTAAAGATATGAGCTGTCATTTTGCTGTTCTAGCTCCTATACCTGCTGCCTTGCTGTCCAGTATTAAAGATTTTAACCCTCGAAATGTAAGTCACAATAAATCTTTTCTTCTATACTCTGTTCTACTCATGATGTCTTATCACATCAGCAGAAAAATAATTAATAAAAGTGTTTGCTTTTATACCGGACATATTTTTCACTCAGGGAATATTTAGAAAGCAGAGCTCAAAGAAATTTAGATGTACAGGATGAGTAGGGTTGCTTTAAAACAGTATATTTTGGATAAAAACCTATTGTTGCATTCATGAATTTATTGCAATTGTTATTACCTCTGTGTGACCTGCATGAAATGGCGCACATTACCACCTATCATTCAGTGGGGGAGTAACTCATTGGTTCCCACACCTTACTGAAGGACTATAGGCATTCCATGGTTCCAGAGGAGGTAGTGTCATGCTTTGCAGTATTTTAGCTAGTAATAGATTGCCCATGTTTTCCTTAATAATTTATGTGAAGTCATCCTTATGTGAAGAATGATAATTAATCTCAGTGAGTCACAAAAACAGATGTGAAAATGGGAGGTGTGTCTGTTGGGAAGAAGGTTTCAACATGATGGGGAGGAGATAAGATAGAGTGATTAGGGTAATAAGAACAAATGCTTAGTGTATACATTTAAGAAATGATAAAAAGCTATATACTAGGATTAACAGAAAAGGTTGTTTTCTTTTCCTGTCACTTAAGGAGTTTATGAGGGAAGCTGAGTTTTTCTGTTTGATCATAGTTTGAAACTTCTGCATCTTGGGGGTAGAATGTCAGTGGTCTAATCTTTCAGACATTTTAATACCCTCTAGTTCAGCAGGGAGTGTAGGGAACCCTTCTGTTTCCATAACTCATTGTTGATATAGCTAGTCTTGTGCAGATCCAGCACAAGTAACTTCAGCTTCTATGAGGTCAAGATTGCCACGATTGTATCTTAGAAGATGACATTTTCCAGCACTTCTTCATGTCTTCCAGCTCCAATATTATTTCCACCCTCCTTCTCAGGAATGTTCCCTGAGCCTTAGAGAAATGTGTTATTAATGTTTAATATGGAGCTCAGTACTTGACAGTCACTTATCTCAGCCACTTGGTCAAGTGTAACTGGATTGGCACCTCCTGTGAAGAGAGGCTTCTTTAATTTAGGCTCAGATTAGCATTGGTATACAGCCTTAAACATATATTTAAAAGAGAATTTGGTCCTGTTTAAATATAACCAAACAGCAATAAGTTCCCCATTATGGTTTATGACTTCCTCAGTTACATGTTTTTAACTATATTTCAAGATTATTCAAGGATTCTCTGCTATGGAGTGAGCCTAATATGCAATTACAGACTGTTTACCCTCATAACAGGAGTGCCACTATTTTCTAAATGGGTACATCTTGTTTAGGAAGATGGTATTAAAGTTTATAAGCTTGACAACTAGGTATTATTATAGTGATGGCCAGTCTTCTATTGTTGTAAATATACACCAAGATAATGACAACTCTTTAAAGGGAAAGTATTTATTGAGGCTTATAGATTCAGAAATTTACTCCATTATCAACATGGTGGGAAGCATGATGGGATGTAGGCAGACATGGTTCAAGAGAAGGAGCTGATAGTTTTATATCTGGATCCACAGGCAGCAGGATGAAGGGAAGGTCATTGGATCTGGCTTGGGCTTTTGAAACCTCAAGGCCCACCCAAGTGACATACTTCCTCCAATAATGCCAAACACACTCCAAAAAGGCCACACCTCCTGGTCCTTTTAAAAGTGCCATTCTCTGGTGAATAAGCATTCAAGCAAATGAACCTATGGTGGTCTTTCATAAACAAACCACTACATCCAACCCTGCCCTTACCTCATAGAGTTGTTTGTATATTATAATGCAAAATACAATTAATTCACCTTCAGAATTCCTCATAGTTTATCATAGTCTCAACACTGTTTAATAGTGCAAAGTTCAAAGTCTCTTCTGATACTGAAGGCAATCTCTTAACTGTAAGTCCTTTAAATTAAAATACAGATCACATACTTCCAATATACATTGACACAGAATATACATTTAACGTCAGGCTTTAAGATTTTCTATGTCCTTGAGTACAGCACTTAGCGTGATTACACTTCCTCGTCTTCCTCTCTTCTTCAAATTGAACCTTTTGTAGTTTTTCTTGATCAGCTTTTGTCTTTTCATTGAAGATCTGCATAAGAGCACTAATCACCACAACAGAATTAATATTAGACTGTCTTGAAATCTCATCTGCCAATGTCATTTATCCAGAACTCTTAAATAAATTGAAGGCTAAAGCCTAAGCAAGTATTTTGGACAAGGGATGAAAGCAATCACTTTTTTCAAGAAAATATTTTAAGAATGATCTGTAGGCCCTTTACTAATATTCTTGTTTGAAACCTTCTTAGTCAGGCCATCATAATTTACATTGCTCTTGGTTGGTTGGTCTTCTATGTTTCTATGTGTTTGTCCTGTTAAACCCTGCCTAAAACATTTAACTGCATTTCTAATACATAGTTATAAAGTCCACATTCTGTGATTAAGAAGCATCCTCAAGCCTGTCACAGGAGTACCCTACTCCCTGAACAGTATGAAAAAGGAGTAACAGGAGGGGTGACTGATCCAGATTACAATGGAGAAATTTGCTTGGCTTCTCCACCATGGAGGCAGGAAGGATCATCACTGGAGTGCAGGCAATTCTTTAGGGTGTTTCTTGTTGCTGTCATGTCAATTAAAT